AACCCACATTCAAGCCGATGATTCAGAGTAAGATTCTGTGAGATTGAGAAACGGGGTGGCAGCAGCCTTGGGGAAGGGAACGGCAGGCTCATTCATAGAGGATTTCGGGAATATAGCCAAAGGTGCTGGTCCCAGTGGGGAACTGGAATGCTGAGCTGGAAGGAGACAGGAGTAGTTATAGTTTCTGGGCCAATAAGGTGTGTGGGAAGCTATAACATCACAGGCATGTTGATGCCAATATTCACCCCACCAAGACAGGAATGCAGTCTACAACAGCAAAACGCATCCCTACCCAGCAAGTAGGGGATTCGAAGGCTACCTCTGAACCACTTCCTTGGTCTGCACTGGGAGTCGAGAGGAAAAAACAAGTCCCACCACGTAAGCAGAATAAAATCATTCTGTCTTTAGACATGTCCAGCAAGAAGCCAGAGAGGATAGGTACCAGGAACATTCCCAAATATGACTTTAAGTCGACTCTGTGTGTGAAAGTGTTTCTCTGCGTTTTCAAAATGCTCTATAAGGAACGGTATTAGTTTCATGAATAAAATGTGTTCATTCATTTAACAGAAAAAAAAATAGTAATATGGCTTTATATTTCACATTGCTAAGAGGTTAGTTGCAGAAAGCAGAATGAAATGTTTTAGGTCTGAAGAAATGCATTCATGGTCTCATTATCCGTGGAGACTCCCTACCCTATTTCCAAATGACAAGTTCTTCCAGATGAGGGCCAACGTGTGCGGGGTTCTTTCACTGAGAAAGGGAGCCAAGAGGATTAGGAGAAGGTGGGAAAGAAAGGATGAAATAGTTTTCCATTTTCCATCTGTGCAACTGGAAAAAATAACTTGCAAGATGCTTAGTTTGTTTTAAAGTGGGGAAAGTGCAAAATTGAACTGGATAATTAATATTCCATGGTGAAAAAGTGGGTCCCTGGAGAAAACTGTAGGAATGCTCATATAGGCACTTGGATGACCTAGTTTAAAGGTGTTAAAGCTCTGAAGTGTAACAAGATGAATTTTAAGGTCACAGAAACAACTGATTACACCGCAATCAATGCATTTAACTCATAAAGAAGGAGAAATCAGCCAATCCTACAGGGATTTGAACTACTGGTTTCTATGTGTGTATTTTAGTCCATTCACTGTCCATGAAGTCATTTTCCTTTCCAGCTGGGGAAACCCTGAAGGCATTCTGTAAAACTGTAAGACAACAGGGTCTAAGCGAGTATATAAAGACAAGCAGCCCCATCAAGCTCACTTTAATAATGTCTTTTTGAAAGGCAGCGTTTCTCTGGGTTTTAAGAGCAATGATGCTCCTTGGATAGGAGAAGGAAAAACTTACAGTAGATTTAGAGGCAACAATTTACATCAGGTGACTAAACCATATAATCCTTTATATTAGAAGTTATCCTTTACATTAAAGGGAGCTGCCAACAGCTATCAGAGGTAGCCAAAGAATCCTACATTTGTTTAAAACAAGCAGAAGATTGAATTGATTTTTAGCTTGAAAAGGAAGGCCTTGTTGGCAAAAACCTTGAGAAGGTAAATCCTTAAAAGAAGTTTTCTCACACGCAAGTGCAATAAGTAAAACTACCTCAGCTTCGGGAGTTCATTTTGTTAATGAGTACTGCATGGAAATTAACACATAATGTCCCTCCAGGTACACTACTTCTCCTTGTTTGTTTCAAGCTCCCGGAAGCATGCATCTCAAAACTGAGCCTTCGTCAATACGTGTCGAAGCCTTTAAAACTGCATATCTTTCAAATCAAGAATTATTAGAAAATAATTAAGGCTATATTTTGAGATTTTGCTGTGATGAGACTCGGGACGATGTTACTAAAAGCACCGAACGGAAAGCAACCCACGTGTAGAATTCAACAGGAGCTGGCTGAAGAAACTGTCATATACCCACACTGGAAAAAACTCTTATTTACTGATCTGGAAAGATTTTATGATCATGTTATATGATGGATAACTCTTAAAGTGTGTGTATATTGTATATATCAAAAAAAAAAGTTTGAAAGCATAGATATTTTGAGAGCATGACTTTCATTATGTGGTGACATTATAGATGATTTTGCCAGTCTTTCTTTTTCTTTTTACTTGCTTATGTTACTGCATTTTTCTACAAACAACTTGTAAATTTCTTGTGTGGGTTCTTTTTTTTTTTTCTGAACTTGATAACCCGTGATTCATCAGTTCCCTTGAACATGGCTTAAAACCATAGTTAGATACCCGAGTTAAGCAGGGTTGTCCACTCTACACCTGGCAGCTATGCACATAACAAAGCCAGAATGCACTTAATGAGAAAGCTATGTTATAGTCTAGGAAGTACTAATCAGCTAAAATTTAAAAAAATTACTATCTTCTTTAACCAAAGACATAATAAATGTATAAATAAATGTAACACATACTATATACAGATCATATGAATTACACTGCAAAATTCAAAGTAACAGTGTCTCCATTTCACAGATGAGGAATACAAGGGCTTAGAGGAATCACATGATTTGTAAAAGATTCATACTCAAAGAAGAGTCCCGGTCACCAGAGCCCAAGCTGTAGGCCCATTAGCCACATTGTTTTCACAAGAAACCCACACAGGCATAGATCAATACATAAAATAAACTCTGAGACAGGAAGACAGAAAACTGATACAAAGGCTAAATTGTAACAACCTGTCACGTAGTCACATGTATTTTATAGAACAAAGAGAGAGGCATCTTTCATCTCCTGTGATGGAATGAAATATATCCCAAGTATTCGTATGTGGAAGCCCAAATCCCCAGTGTGACTATATTTGGAGATCAGACCTTTAGGGAAGTAATTAAGGTTAAATGAGGTCATAAGGGTGAGGCCCTGATCCCGCAGGACTCCTGTCCTTTAAGGAATCTCTTGCTCAACATACACACACACACACACACACACACAGACAAGGCCATGTGAGGACACAAAGAGAAGGTGACTGTCTACAAGCCGAGAACCTTCACCAAAACCAAATCTGATGGCACCTTCACCTTGGACTTCTTGCCTCTATAACCATGAGAAAATAAAATTCTGTTGGTTAAGCCACCCAGTTTATGATATTCTCTATGGCAGTCCAAGCAGCTGAAGATATTTCCCAAAAAACATCAAACAAAAGCCTCTCAAAAGTTGTTTTTCTACAAAGTCAAATACAGAATTGAAAAATAAATAAAAATGTGATCATTCTCCTTTCCTGGACCAGTACTCTCATCCACTCAGACATTCACAAGTATCAACTAAACTAATTCTTCATCCTGCCACACCAAACCACCATCCCTTAAAAATTACCACATCCTCTAGGATTTTTTTTTAAAGATTTTATTCATTTATTTGAGAGAGAAAGAATGAGAGAGAGAGAGAGAGCATTGAGAGGTGGGAGGGTCAGAGGGAGAAGCAGACTCCCTGCTGAGAGGGAGCCCGACTCGGGACTCGATCCTGGGACTCCAGGATCACAACCTGAGCTGAAGGCAGTCGCTCAATCAACTGAGCCACCCAGGCACCCCTCTAGGATTTTTTAAATATAAGAATGAAATCACCATGCACTGATGGACCAAGACTAAAACTTAGAAGTTGCTCAAAACTTTCCCTTTCACATACGCCCTTTTTTCCATTGGCTGCTGTATCCATGCTCGGGTTTCCTGCCATATGCATTTTTGCCTCCCACTGACCAGACACAGTAGATGTTTAAGAAATGTTTACAGTTGAAGTCAGCTGCTGTTCAATACTCATGTTTAATTTTCCAAAAACGTTCCTTCACACCTCATCTGCAATGATATTCAGCATTTCCCTCCTCCAGGTCCTCACCTGAGCTTACTTCACTTCTCAGATACTATAAACAGTTTTACAAAGCTGCCTGCTCCCTTAGACTGTGAACTCTTCGCAAAGGAACTTTTTTGAAGGAAAAAAAAAAAGTGGTGCATGGAAAGCATGGAGCATTCAGTACGTACTGATGTAGCAGAGAAAGGCATAGTATGTCCAAGGAGTTCAAGTTTATATGAGGGAGAACGGTGTACTGAAACCCCAATAAATGCAATCAAGGACCAAATTTAACCTTTTCTCATAACTGAGGAGTAAGGCTTAGGTATAGGGCACTTAGTTCCCCCAAAGTCCTCCCCTCCCCCACCGTGCCCCCCCCATCGGGCTCCTCGCTTAGCGGGGAGCGTGCGTCTCCCTCTGCCTGCCACTCCCCCTGCTTGTGCTCTCTCTCTCTCTGACAAAGAATAAATCAAATCTTAAAAAGATATGCAGATACTACTTTGCCTTGGCCGCCCACATCTTTCCTGGGCTTATCCTGCCTTGGCAGGATCAAAATGGCAGGATTCTACAATTCCTGACTTCAGGAAGCAGTCCTTACTCATTTATTATATGCGTTAATAATTTCAGCCTCAGTTTCTTCATCTGTTAAATGAGAAGCATGATCTAACTGCAGGATTCCTGGGGCCCTACCAGCTTGAACATTCTCTGCTCTTAAGGAAGACAGATGTCCCACTTCACCGAGCAACAGTATGGAACTTGGGTTTCCCTTTGCCTCTCTCAGCAACAGAACCCAAACTAGTCCATCTTGCCATCAGGATGAAAAAGGAGGACAAAGAGCCATCCAAGATGTTTCCATTGTATATAGGACTATAAAGAAATCTTTTGGAAGGGCAACTACTCAGCTTGGGCAAACACATTATGTTTTCTATGCGCCACGCTTGTGTAGAGAAAACTAGTTTTCAAGTTAAATTTTAATCGCCATGTTAAAGTAATGACCTCCTTTATTAATTAGGATTACATTGCAAGCAACAGAAAACCCAATTCTAAATGGCTTAATCTAAAAAAAAGAGAAAAAAAATTTAAAAAAGGAATTTTTGTTACTTACAAAACAATTCAGGATGGAACCGTTTTTAGGTGCTGAAAGGTGAGCCGTTTCCATGGAAGCCACAAGGTAGCATCCCAGTGGGAGAAGGGTAGAATGGATGGTGGCGGGGGGGGGGGGGGGGGGGGGCTAAAGGAAATGACATCTACTGCAGTCCCCCTTCATCCTGGATTCACTTTCTGTGGTTTCAGTTACCCACAGTCAACAACAGTCCAGAAGCAGATGATCTCCCTACTGTCATCAGATGGTCAAAAGCAACCAATCGCCAAATCACAATGCCTATGTCAGTCCCCTCACCGGAGGCACTTTATCCTCTCACATGAATCACAAGAAGGGTTGTGTACAGTACATTAAGATTTTGAGCGACATACCACATTCCCAGAACTTTTATTATAGTTTAGTGTGACCACTGTTCTATTTTATTACTAGTTATATGGTTAATCTCTTACTAAGCCTAATTTATAAATTAAACTTTGTCATAGGTAGGGATGTTTAGGAAAAAATACAGCATATACAGGGCTTGGTACTATTTGTGGTTTCAGGCATCCATTGGGGGTCTTGGAATGTATCCAAGAGAGGAATGTATCCAAGATAAGGTGGAGGGGGGGACTAGTGTACCACCATTCGCAATTGTTTACCCATGTTTTTTTCCTCTTTCCCCTTATTATAGAAATGTATTACCTTCCAAATGGGTTCACTGCCATTTTTTTTCCCTCCACACACTTGCAAGTAAATGCTCTACCTGACTCAGCTTAAATGCACATGCTCACATTTAGATAATTAAAAGTTCGCCTCCTTTTCAGATTGATTTTCCTTCTAAATCTCCCTGGATTTATTAGACAACATGTGAGAAATCAAAAAGTTCTCATTCTCTTAGGCTGTCCTCCTGTTAAGACGAGATGATGCTCTGACTTATGTAAACTTGGGTCTATGTTTGTAACCTTCTTCTCTGCTGTGATACCAAGTCAACATAAGAATAATTTGCTCAGTAACACACTCTAGGACAAGGTCTTCAGCCTTAATAATTGCAAAGTCACAATTTGCTCTTTGCAAGGCCATTCGAAATAACACAAAGGCCACCCATTGGCAGATGAATGTTTGACAAATCTTGGGAGTAAACACAGGGCACTGTTTACACAGACTTGGCATTTTAAATATTCTTCTTACCTTGTAAGAATAGAAGGTGATCCCATATTGTCAACTTGGAGAGAGTTTCCTTTCTTTCTAACAGTTCTTATCCAGGCAAAGTAGAATATAGAACTGGCACGTGTGGAGGCTGGAGCCAGTCTATCCAGTTCCAGATCGTCCTGGGGAGTCTACATGACCTTAGGCACCTCTCCATGCCTCAACTTTCCCAACTGTAAAATGGGAATATTAAGAGTAACATCTGGTCTGTTACAGGGACTAAAGGACGCCACAGGCATTTCGTGCCCAGGGAGTGCTCAGGATATTAAATGCTTGACAGATCTGCAAGGCTTGGTGGAGTACTCGAGGAAGAATCATCCTGCCCAGAAGGACAACGGTGTCCCTTTTGGGAAACACAAGGTCTCCAATCTCTAACCTGTTAGATGCCCTGGGGTCATTCAGCCAGTATGAACACATCCAAAATATGTGGAGCTCATGGCCTCCCAAGGCATTGCGCTCCACTCTTGCCTAGTTCGAAATACTAGACAGTTCTTCCTTATACTGAGGCAATATCTGTCCTCTGGTCTTCGTTCTGCCTGCCATAGCCTACAAAATAATTTGTCTGTTTGGCTAAATGAAAACTGAAATTTGCCATTCCTCAAAACCAATATAAAATATTTACAAATTATTATGTCAGCGTTGTGGCTCTAAGGAGCACCAGATGTTTCTATTAACAGTGGATCTGTCATTTCATGGTCTGTCTTTCTCGTTCAATAAAAAAGGATACTAAAGCACCACAGCTCAGAGGGGCTGCATCCACATTCACCCACAGGGAAATGCAGCTTTCCCTAATGGGATATTAAATATTTCCTCAACTAGATTCTCATTAACGACCAGCCTCCTGATTAATGAGTAGCTCAGCCATGCCAAAGCACTAACTCCAGGTCCAACGATGCGTTACCTTTACCTTACATGTTCAAGATCTGCACGAGTAACACGAAATCTCAGTAACGGAATTATGGATGAGAGCAATGTGACATCTTTGCTTTTTCCCTAAAGTCAGCAGAGGCTGGGAAAGGCCCAAATCAGAGTCAGAGAGCACGTCTACTCTGTTAGGGTTGAAAATGTGTGTGATTTGAAAAGCAATGGAACAAAGTGCCCGGGCCTGCTTCCTTTATGGGGTTTTGTACTTTTTATTGAATTCTAGCAAATAAAAAAGTGCCCAAATCATAAGTGCCCAAATCATAAGCCAGTTTTAATGGTGAAATCCTTCAAACTCGCAGAGAAAAGCTAGTTCTCATGCACATTAACATTCTGCGGTGTTAATTAAAACTGGAAAACTATCCGGACACCTGGGCGGCTCAGTCGGTTAAGCAGCTGCCTTCAGCTCGGGTTGTGATCCCAGGGTCCTGGGATCAGAGTCCCACATCTGGGGGGGGCTCCCTGCTCGGCAGGGAGTCTGCTTCTCCCCCTCCCTCTGCCTGCCGCTCCCCCTGCTTATGCTAGCTCCCGCTCTCTCTCTCTGACAAATAAATAAATAAATAAATCTAAAAAAAAAAGGAAAGCTATCCAAATTAACTTTACGAATTGACCGTAATACCAAAACCTTCTAAGAACAGGATCAGACAGAGGGCAAGGAAGTCATACAGTTGGAAAGCAAGAAAGAGAAATAGAGAAAGAGAATATATTGGCTAATATCAGTTGAATAGCTTTTTAAGACTCATGATAAAATAGTAATAACAATTTTCACATTTTACTGACCACTAAATAGATGCCACTTCCCAAGTGAAACTTACGTACATTGTTATGTACATTACATTCATTATTTATCCTAAGTCTATTCATGGGGTAGATATCATTATCCCCGTATTACAGAGGAGAAAATTAAAGTACTAAAGTAACTAGCCCATCATCACATTTTAAGTGATAAAGCTGAGATTAAAATTAAATTCTTATCCCAAAGCTTTGGCTCTTATCCACTATTTTCATGGAAAAGGAAACAAAATTCAAGAAACTATTTATCAAAATTTATTGCCAACCAGTAGTTTTTTTTTTTTCCACAAATGCAAAGAGAATTTACGGATCATTTTCAGAAAAATCTAACATGTTTAATATTATAAATACAACAAGTCAGAAAGGTCACATAACTAAAAGCAATACTTGAAGTAATTTAACAGAATTTAAAATTCCTTCTCTCTGAGAAATGTTTAGGAATTGGAAATACGATCTTAAGAAAAAAAGTATCTCATAGCATACTTAAACTATGCTCACTAAAATTGGGCATAAAATAAAGATGTTCACAATCCTATACTGGCTTTTATTACTGGTCTGAAAATTCTGACCAGTGTTGTAAGATAGAAATCAGAAATAAGAGGTCTAATTTTTAGAAAGAAGGGAAAAATATATATATAATTGCATTCAGTCAAAACTATTAGTTCTCTAGAAAACTCTGGAGAATTAACTGAAAACCTATTAGTATTCACAAGACAGTTCAATAAAAAGATTGGATGCAAGATAAACATACAAAAATCAATAGCTGTCCTGTAGATCAGTGATAACCAGCTAGAAGATCTAATGGAAAATATTGGAAAAACTCAATAAGTTTGTGTCTTTCAGTCATTAACTGTAGTAGAAGTCAACAATCCTTTCTTCAGGGAGGGGTTCTTTTTAGGATAACCATTTTTTAAAGTTATGGTAATAGTTGTGATGTTTATAAGAGTAGACATTACTTTCAAGAAATGACTTTATATATTCCTAGGAGAAGAAAAGGAAAGATCTAACAATGAACTTTTTAAAAACCCCTTTTAGTACAATTGCTGAAATCAGAGTGCAGGATTCTTACCATATCAAGTACCCATTTAAAAATTACTGAAATAATTATAGTTACAATGTTTTGTGAATGAGGGTCCCAGAGTCCTTCATAAAGGTTAAAATAAATTATGGACTTGGTTTACTTTAGCTAAGTACAATCGCCATTTTTGCCCTGTGCAGGAGAACTTCCAAAATCGAAGGCCATTTGAGACCTTCTGGTGGTATGTTTCAAACCTTTTTTTAAAATACTTCTTCTCATTCATGCAAAGATAACGTTCTCATTTTTCCATCAACATGGGTTCCTTTCATATAAGTCCACCACGCTTTTATATTGGTTTACTGGAGGCTTGCATGAGCATTAATTTAAAATTCTAGGATATAGAAGTGCTGAATTACTATACTGTAAACCTGAAACTAATAAAACACTGTATGTTCGAATTAATTAATTAATTAAAAATTAAAAACAAAAGCAAGCAAACAAAGAATCTAGGATACAGGGAGGTAGTTCCTAAAGAAAACATTGCAAACGGAAGCCTGAATGCTCAAATATTACTTTCAGCTTCACTTCTTTTGTTGGCACCTCCTTAGATAACAGAGTAATGAAATCTCAATTTCTCCCATTAGTTAATTAGCCACCTTTGCATCTTAAGTAATAGAAGCATTATACTGTTAATTACCTACAAGTCCACTCTCAAAAATCAGTGACTGTTTTTTTTTCCTTATGCATAGATTTGCACAAGCCTGAAAAAAAAAAAAAGAAACCTATAAAACACTCTACACACAGGCTAAATGTTACAAAATGGAGTGCTCTAACAGCTGAAGGTGAGTTCAGTCAACTAGTGCCCTTCTATTGATCTCTTATTCCTCCCAACACTTTTCTTCTAATCCTCTCCATAATTACATGAACTGCTACAGCTTTCTCGAAGCTGTCAATGCCTCCCGCATCCGTTTTCAAATGACCAGCGAAGACGCAGTCTGGGCACTAGATCAAACTGTCAATGTTCCCAACTCGGCAATGAACAATCCTCTTGAAATCTCCTGGCACATCTGTCAAGGGCCTCCTAGGGTTCTTCAAAACTCTTCCCCCTCTGAAGAGAGTAAGAAGGATGGAGGGGCCAGAAAGGTATTGATCCGGTCTTTTAACATGCTAATTTGCCTGGGGGATGCTACAGTCATTGCCAAGCTGGACGCTTCAAAAGGAAACTGTTTTTTCAAAGTGGAGATGTCTTCTTCAAACACTTAGAACTGAAAACAAATGAACCCAAGCATCAAGTTCACAGTGCAACGTGAGGGAGTCTGGCCAATTAGAAATGGGAGAACTCATGCAGAGAAAGGGGTTCTAAAATTAACTGATGACAGCAAGAAGTTGGAAAGTTTGAAACCTAGTTTAAACTTTGAAAGCCTGTGTGTGCATCACAACCAGGTAGGAAATAGTCTATTGGATCGCCTGCCTTAATCCTGGGGAGAAAAATTAAGACTTATGTAATTAAACTGATGTAACACATTAGTAACACTGATATTGATGAATGCTTGGACGTCTCCCTAAGTGACAAAAATGGAAAATAAAATTGATTGTTCATTTAATTACACCTCTAACTGGCAACACACCATTAAGACGAGAAAAAGGCAGAGGGAGCTGTAGCAACATTATTAAGGTATCTTTGTCTACTACCGCCTTTGTCATTGGTTTATTATTTCATCAATGAAACATACAGCACAGATAAGACCACAGGACACCATTAAGTGTGCAACGATGGTGAAGTATTCCCATATTAAGTTTGCAAAATTAACTCATCCAAAGCAATGATCTGCTCACAGTTTTCAGGTCGTGTATTTCTGTGGGGTATCCTGAATGGTTAGCAATGGAAAATACCCTATCAAAGAGACAGTGGTGCTCCTAATGATAGCTGGGAAGCTTGGCATCTTAAGGACAAAAGCCCATGAGAACTGCATTCCTCACTGAGCTGTCTTAACTGATCATGAGGTTGGCCCATATTTACCTGCCATGGTATTATGGGAGGAAATCAGTATTCTGTTAACCTCTGACCCCTGGGATCTGAAGCAGACAAAGGACCAATCTGGAGTCCTGGGAGAACAGAGCCAAATGTCAAACAGCAGGGAAGCGATTGTTCCGGAAACATTTGGCATGGGCACAGCCAGCTTCATTGGGGCAAACTGCTATTCACGGAAACAAGCCATGAAGAGATAACGCCATAAAATATGAACAAAATGGAACCTTTTCTGCCTTGCTTCTCAATTGTTAGCTTTATGGGACATCATGCTGAACAGTATGAAAAAAATCCAATTTGCTTTGAAGCGTGTTAGTCTGTCTAACATCCTAATTATTGTTTACATTGCCATTTGCCTTCTATTAAGAATTGAATAATTACCCAGCACTTCATAGTTTAAAAATACAAGCAAACAGGATTATCTGGGTAATTAAGAAACTGTACTTTAGCTTTGTACTGCTGTGGAAAATATCTGTACACGTAGGGGAAATGATAATTATCAATCAACTTACTTCAAATGGTATTTTAAGGATTTTGAGCAATTTGAGATCTGTAACTTATTAAGAAGAGGTTAGTAAGATCACCTTTGAGAAGTGTGGGTCTGTTTAAATCCATCCTTAGAAACAAGAGCCAGATAAGCAGCTGAATTTTCTCATCCACTAATGACACCAGAGAACACAACAAGTACAGAGCCTTCTGCTGTTCTTTAATCCCTAATAATCCATCCCAAATGGACTTTGAACAGCATCATCAAACTTTGTCAGACCATGTGGAGCTAACCCAAAGCTCTTCCACATTTCGATGTTGTTTTAGCTGATCTGCCTCCACTTAATTACACTGCAAAGTCAGGCTATGTGCCCATGTTCTGCCCTGTGAAATGAGCTTGAACTCAAAACTAACTGAACTCCAAAAACATTTCATGCAAAGTCCTCCTCTTCTACTTTATAGAATGCATATGATCATGGCCTTCTGAAGATAGCGCTGTGGCCAAGCAGGGTGAAGTCTGTGGTGTCAACATATGCAGTGCGCTTGCATTTCCATTCTAGGGGAATAAAGCAAAGGTTATTAAGTCAATTTGGAGACACTGGGTGGGATGCGAAGACCGAACTCAGAAGGCGACGTTCAACCCCAAGTGAATGCACATACGGAAGAAGGAACAGAATTATAGTCAATACGCCTTTTAAAGAAATTTATCTGGGACATAAGCGAAGATAAGGGCTTTTAATTGTGAGTCTAGATACAAAGACCGAGGTACTCATTCATCCATGTAGAAACAGATGAAAATACCAACGGTGATCTTGAGTTATACGCTTTCAGTATCTATTTGTTGAAGGAATGAATGGATTCCAGCCCACTAGTGACCTGAAGCCTATTTTTGGAACTTCCTGAGGTCTGACAATTCCTTTTCAAAGAATTTTATCTTTTTGCTTTACAACTTTTTTAAGCCCTTTGTTGGGACACTTCTAAACATTCCTCGCATAATCTGAATAGTGCCATCTCCTACCTCTCAGAAAGAAGTGCAAGATCCCAGCTGAAGCTGTCACTAAACAGACAAGCAAAAGGAGTCACCAAAACTAGGTTACTTTCCAAAGGTCAAAATAAAATGAGCAGCAGGAGCTTGGGTTGTTTTTCAAGGGGCAAGGGGCCCCGGGAGCGACAACCAGCCACCCGGGGGTGGGAGGTGGGGGGTGAGGGGGTGCACAAAAAGAGCCCAGTGCAAACAGTCCACTCTACGCCCCTGCCCCCAATCTCTGGAAGCATTCAAATCAAAACCGAATTAATTTGCATGGTGTCTAAATCATTGGGTTCTGCATAAACAGAAGGAGATTTTGGCTGGAGTTTCCAAAGGAAGCCCTCACTGCCTTTGTGCGAGGGGGAAATGGGTGTGCTGTTTTGCATGAGGGCGCATACAGAATATGCAAATGAAGACTCCGCAGCCTGGAAATGCAACCCTAGGCAGACAGCTGACGACCCGCATTCACCCAGAAAACGCTCGGCGTCTCCAAAGGGAGTTGTAAGCGGTTCCGACAGGACTGTTTCCCAAGAAGCCGAAACAGACCCTGAATATTCATAAAATGTCCATTTAGTCATGGGACTATTAATTACTCTTCAGATCAAGAAATGGAGTGACCTCACCTGCTCTCCTCCCCAAAAACAGCTCAGAGGTACCAGCTGTAAGGCACGCAATAAAAAAGGTTTTGTGCCCGAAGTGAAAAAGATACAGTCTCTCAGGGTCCAGGGGACAGCTGAGACCTTCTTTAATCATGCCTTCTCACAAGGACAATAAAACTAAAGAGCGCAGGGCCACCTTCTTGGACACAGATAAACAGCTTTAAAAGGCTAAAAGCTACAAATTGCTGTTAAGTTTATAGAAACATCTAAAAGGTTGAATAAATAAAAGGCCATTCTTCTAAGCTACCTTCATCTCCCAGATTCTGAAAGTTTTCAGAACTTTCTTATTTCATTTTAATTTTTAACTATCTGCAGCAAGACAGACATGCACCCGACCTACCTGCCAGAGAAACTAAAACGCTGATGGTCTCACGGCCCCTCTACACTTTTAAAAACACTGAGGATGCCAAAATGCTTTTGTTTATCTGCCTTAAAACTGTCAATATTTACCAAAAGAAATGGAAATTGAGAAATTTTAAAAGTAATTATTTATTAATGCACTTTAAAAAAAATCAGTGGTTGCCCATCACGTTTACATAAATAACATGTTAATGAAAAAATAACTATTTTCCCAAAATACAATTCTTTTTAAGAGTGATACTTTTTTTTTGCAAATCTCTTTAATGTGTGTTTTAATAGAGGACAGCTGGATTCTCCTATTTGCTTCTGTATTCAATCTGATGAGATATCACACATCAGGAAGCCTCTAGAAAATGCCACTCATGAAAAAAAGAGAGGTAATAGGCAAATGATAGCTAAGTATTAACTAAGAAAAGTTTTGACCTTGCAGACCACAGCAAAGGGTCGTGGGGAATCCAGATAGAACACACTTGGAGAACCACTGCACTGGGGCGGGCAGTAACATCGAGAACAGAGGATCTAATCAATGCATGTAAGATCAGCCATTTCATACCACCTACTACCCTTGCTTATGTAACATCATCCCTCTCCCCGCCCCCCCAAACAAAAACAAAAACAAAAAAACTTCTACTCTGGAACCTAAATGAACTGCTTTCATTGTTGGACAGACACTAGTCCAATAACCCATCAACATATTTCTACCTAACAACAATAAAATTAACAATAACCACTTCCACTAAGTGCTTAATGATTCTAGACACTGTGCAAAACCCTCTCCTCCAAACATACATACTTATGTGTGTGTATCATACATAACATACTATTACCACCAATTTGCATTTGTGAACTTGAGGTTAAGTTAGTATCCATGATCACACAACTGGTTAAGTAGCACAAGTAGAAACTGAACCCAAGTCTCAAACTCCAAAAACAGGTCTTAGCTATTTTATACTAATAACTCTGTTAACCCATGCACTGTGGAGATTTGTGAAAGTTCAGGCATAGAGATGAATCATAAACACGATGAAAAGAGTTAGGACCCAACTGAAGTAGGAATTATAAATTCAGACCTCATTAATGCATCAGTCACGTGCAAAGATTTTGATATCATCTTGACTCCGTGAAACATTACTCCACCAACTAAATATTTAATATGAAACAGGCCACAGTTGCTTATGCATTTATTTATTCATTCATTCAATGAACATTTAATGAGACCCCACTATGCTCGTAATCGTCACTGGGGTTACTTGTCTGATTATAACACGCTGCACTTCTTCACATACATGCTCACGGTAAGAAAGTTTGCTAAGTTCACTTGTCCAAGATAAAGCCAGGAAAGTCACAGAGCTAGCCTAATCATTCGATTTTTTAAGCAAACTTGTACATGTTTGATTCATAAATTAAAGTGTTTGTTTAAAAATATTGCCGGGAAAAACTAAGGAACCTAAATATCTACCACGGAGGGAAAAATTATAGACTTCATACTACAGAATATTAATTATCCATTATGAAGGATGAAGAAGAGTGATATCCTCTAATATGGAATGATGTCCATGATAAACAGTCAAGTGTCATAAAAACAAGATGATAATTAAGAGGATGATTCTGGGAGAATATTTGGGTTGTCTGACAAATTATAAAGAGTGGTAACTCATAAAAAGTTGAAGAGGTTGAAGCCGTTCTTTGGTAATGTGAAATTCATCAATTAAATGGGGGGGGGGACCTAAACCCGAAGTAGTCAAGTTCAATGATGGGAAAGTCAAACTTCTATCATGACCACCTCTGCTTTGCACAGTAAGCAGTAACTGAAAAGCCATTTACTCAGTCTTTTCCAAGGACTCAAGTCTTCACAGAATAATGATGTCTTAATTCATTTTTGAAAGGTAGGAGGAAGCCTAGTTAGACTAAAATAAGTCATCAAATCTTAAATACCATATTCAAAAGTCCCTCACTGAGAGCATTCCTATGTGATGCTTTGGTGCACCCAAAATAGAGACCACTCCATAATTCACACTCACAAAAGAACCCTGGTCACACAAAGAAGGGGAAAAAAAAAAGTATAACTGAAAAAGCACAATAATTAAACCCTGCTCTTCTTGTATATAAAGAATTGTGTCTTTCAATGATCACAGCCAGGCTTCAAAGCTGGAGATAAAAGCAGCCATGTGATTCAAGCAATTGATTCTTAAAGACATGATTCAAAGGTAGAAAAAAAATTTCAAAGGTGGAAAGGATATGAAGCAGCATCTCTCTGAACCATATTTTAAATGCTTCCTTTCCAGTACTTCTTTCTCCTAAGATCTTTCTAGAGTAGAGTGGGAAAAACAAAGTAATTTTTCTTTTTTTTTTTTTTAATGTAAATCTCCCCCTCTATTCAGAGCCCAAATTTGAAATATTTCTGTTATGGCCATCAAAGCCTTTCTATCTTGTTCTTTCTCATAAGAGCTTTTACTGATACCTTTTGCTGATATGAAGGCATCATATATTAATGATATAATATTAGGTCCTGGATAGGTATGACCCGAAACAATCTACAGCAACAATGTGTCTTTCAGCAAGGCTTGATTCCTATGGAGCTTAACATTGTCACCGTTATGATTCTTTGGCTTAAAGAGTGACTCCAGAAGAATGCCTTCTTTCTAGCAGTATAAGCAGTGCTTACTAATATTTCACAAAGAGTAAATCTGTGACTTCCCTTTCATTTTTCAGCTTTTTAATTAAGCAGAAAATATGTTAATAAAGAATCTTTTCCTCTCTTGGTCTGTTTAATCTTTCTGAAGTAATGAAAACTACCCTCTAAAACATTTGCACCATTTCCTCACTGGGGGGTTTATGTGGGGGGCAGGGGGGGAGGTGGCAATGCCGGGGTCTGAGGTATATTTGCAATTTCCTCCAACAGTCTGAGGAGACTTGGTCACGAGACTAACTAGAGCAGGGACTTATCGTCTGCAGCCAATCACTGGGCAAGTTCAAACTCTGCTGAGACCAGCCAGCCATGCACTCTCCTGACAACAGATGAATGGCTACTACCACTCTTTGTTGTCCAAGGAGACGGAGCCAAATCATTTCAGAACATGTTATTCAAGAGCAGAATGAACTTGCAGCTGCTTCAGAGGGCAAGCCCGCCATCACCTCTTGACACTTTTGACGTAGCTCTCCATCCTTCGCCTCCATTAGCATGTACTGCTTGGAGGTAAGAAAGCCAAGAGGAAGTGTCGCTCTGTCCCCGAGGTCCCTTGAGGACTCCGGCAGCTGACGAGGGTTAGATTCAAACAACAGCACATCCCAGGCCCCCACCCACCCTGGCCATTTTTGCCCAAGGATCCTTTGTCAAACATGTAAGATCTTAATCCATCTTCACTCTGACCTTCCAGACCCCAAGGAAGATGGATGAGGAAGTGAGTGACCTTTCACCTGTTCTATTCGGCCTGCAACAGTAGGCCCACTGAAAAGACAATTGGGGAGGAACCTGCTGCCACAGTTCTGAAGACTTGCCAGTTCCCCTTTTTATCCCTTCTTAAGCTCTCTTTGCGCCCTGGCCTTTCTTGTCCCGCCCCCAAATCATTTTCTCTCACTCAAAGGAAAGTTCGCTTTCTGACAGGGGAGAAATAAAATGACACTCTCCAAATATTATTTTCAACATGAAGTGTAAAAACAGACATTATTCTTTGTTAGGGCAGGGGCAATTCTTCTGTCCTATCTTTAGCTTTGACTTCCAAGAGGGGCTGGGAGATGGATGAACTTCTCTTTCGCTTGTTCTACTCAATACCCTTAAAAGTCCACAGCTACGACTGTGAGAAGGACAGAGTTATCAAAGAATTGCTAGCATTGACATTGGTTTAATGCTTAGGATCTGAAAGGTGACTTCTACTAATCTTACATCACTGTGTCCTCATGGCAAGACTGTAAGCTAAGTACAGTTATTTTCAACCCATTTTATAGATGAAGAAACCAAAGCTCAAGAGGGCTTAAGAAACATGCTCAATGTCATAGAGTTAGTTACAGTGACCACACTGAGACACATTTCTTTGTCTCTGTGTTCTTTCTGCTCTACCTGGATGCTTCCCAGTAATGACGTCAAGGATGGAGGTGACCATTTTTATTACTCCTAAGATTTTTAGTCTTGAGTCATCTTTAAAAAATCTCACTGAGGTTTGGAGTTGAAGAATCTTGCCATTCAAGTTTTTCCTTCCTCCCTAAATTCATCAGCAATGCCTACCTGATAGTATTAAGAACAAACAAACAAACAAAGGGCAAGATTTTGTTCAAAATTGTCTTCTTGAAAGAGTTAGTCATTTTATGAGCAGCAGAGAAAATACCTGGGTAGCCAGAGTGAGAACAATGAAGATTCTAAAAAACGGCCTCAATCAACCTCCCCTTCCGTTAAATATCTGGCCTTGTGTTAGGAACAGTTAGCTTAGAAACGGATTGATTCTAAAACATGGAGCCCCACCCCTTCCATGAACCATATGATTAACTGGATTCCCAAGATTATTTCCATAAAGCAAACCACTAAAATGTTCAATTGGCTTTACATTCACTTCCCCCTCCATCTTTTTCTCTTCTTCTTCTAATTTGGGTTGTAAAAATGTCAAGGAGTTTCACAGTGTAGCAATGTATGAGTTACGGGGCTCTACAACAATTGAAAATCAATGACATTAGATACAGAGATATACTAATGCCGGAGCAGGAAATGGAAAGACAATGGTGTTCTCTCTCTCTCTCTTTTTTTTTTAATACATATAAGAACCTTGACATGTGAAGACGTGCAAGTCCTCTCTTACAAAAATCGAAAAGGCAGAATAATTTACTCTAAAGTGTGATTCCGTGTCATTGCCCTGTTCATGTCACTGTACCTGCTATGATGACTGCAATTTAGGTGCCAATAACAATGCACTCAGGTATGTTCTCATACTGATACCAGGATAGGTTTTGGGGTTTCAATTTGGTACAGCTTATCCAGTAGTTGCTAAGTCAAGAGCTAACACAATGATCAAGAAACTAATCTTTGCAAACAACAACAACAAAAAACAACTTTAAATTCCAACTTTAAAATTTTCGAATTCATGAGCTTACCTTTTTACTCTGAGTCAACAGACAAGGTAGCCAACCTTTATTGTTTTATTTGCGATGAATTTACAACATTCCTTGTTAGCTACTCCTGGAAATAACTAGCAAATCAAGAATGACACTGTAAAACAGTATATACTATAAAAGGGAAAAATGCACAACCTATGACATCAAATTACCAAAAATGCAACTTTCTTCAGGTTATAACTGTTGATTTCCCGTCAGTCGAGTGGATTGTCCCATAGTTAATCCTACCCTGTCATTAAGATGGTTGAAATGCCAGACAGATTGTTTGGCAGTCGGTTATTTCGGGGTCTTTAATCACCAAATCAGATGAACCATGTGGCAATCAGTCTACAGCTCAACAATCACCCTGAGAAAAGATTAATCGGATCTGTTCCATAAGTCGGGACCAGAGTTACACTGTTTAGTAGTAACCATAGTGAGATTGGCGGCAGTAGACTATTGATAAGCCCTAAAAATAAACACCACGCAAAAAATAACAACCTTGGGATAACTGATTTTTTTAAGCCCTAATCCACACACCACACGAGCAATCCATGTAAGTTTGAACTCTTCTCATCTCTTACTCGGAAGCAAAGCTGCTACAAAGAAAAATATCTTACCAACTCCCCAGAAAGGGGAAATAAGAGAAGAAAGAATTGCATACACTCCACTGCAGGTAAGGGGAAAAAAATCACCTTAGTAATGTGATAAGTAGTAATTAGCATGATACAAAAGTCTAGATTTCTTCAAAAACTCAATAACCAAAATGGATCACAATTTACTCTTGCCTCTGACCACACAGATCAAATAAGACTCTCACTAGCTCTTTATCACCTCCTCGGGGAAATCAAGAGGTCTTTCATCAAGATTAATGTCACTTGCAGACCCTATCAATGGGAGCTCAGTGGAACAGAATGCACTTGAAACTTTGTCACTCCACTTCGTTGGGCCACGTCTACACAGCCCCAATGAGGCAGGACAAACTACTTTCTTCACACAGCTCGATTTTAATCAGCAGGCGGGATTTGCAAGACTGGAATCCTACTTCCACATTTAAGTCGTTCATGTACATATATATGCCACAAGAGATATTTACCATCTTTGCCATTTTACCAAGTCTGTAGCCAGGGAAAACTAGAGTTCAAAAATGTGTCTGCCCTCTTTAAGTAAGGATCAATCAAGTCTGTTTCTTCAGCTTGTTCATTTATATCTCAGAGGGCACGTCAAGCCGGTTCAGATCTAAGTGCCTGTTAGCAAATGTGTTTGGCCTTCTGCTGATTACACAGCATCATTTATTTTGTCAGTATTAGAAACGTCTTAGCCTTACCACCTGGAGCTAGAGCATTTACTCATTAGACCCCTCTGTCCCACCATGTCCCACAGGGGCTGCTAATTACTGGCTTTACTCCATTTAGTCTCATCTCTGATTTAATTATGTGCACTAAGCCCTAATGAAAAGTACAATATGGCTCTTCTTACCTTGGCATTCTCCATTCCGCTCTTCATGCCCAGCATTGCATAGGCAGTTGCCAATGGGTACCAGCCATTCACCATCTGCCCCACAGTACATTTTTGGCACATCCTTCTCTTCTGAGTTGTTGACACAGGAGCCTCGAACTTCCACCAGGGAAGACGTATCAGCCCCTGTGATGGTGTCTGGAAACTGGGCTAGATTGCGAACGGTGAGCGGACACTTCTTATAGAACACACGGACTGAGACCAGGGCAATGCAGGCCCCCACATCCTGAAAAGCCAGATAAAACCCCTTTTTGCTCAGGGGCCCTACATCCCGGATCTCGGTGTTCAGCTTCATGATTCTGTCACCAATGTCCACTTGGGTGAAGCTCTCATCAGCCGCAATGGTGTCAATCTTGGCAAACTGGCTCTCTCGGATAAAACGCTCTTTGTCGTTGTCTGATTCATAGTAGTAGAGGTTAAACGTCTCCTTGCAAGTCCCCATGACACCCGGAAGACTGTTGCAGTCTCTCAAGGTGAACTTGATCTCAATGTACACCCTCTGAGCCCCCTCCCGGGTGATCCAATCAGTTCGTAGCCAGTTATTCTGGCTAGGTTCCATTACGTTGCACACTTGGTAGGTTCGGATTGGTGTATTTTTTTCATCCATTATACTCACTTCCTCCCACTGCAAAGATCCAAAGGAAATGTATCAATTACAAAATGTCATCATGCGATGACTTGTCAATTCTATTTTACCCTCAGAGGACAGTGATGATTTTTGTTTCAGGGAGGAAGAAAACTACTGAGAACCAACCCTCACTAACAAAACATCTTATGGGAGATAAGACAATATTTTACTGGGCAGGTGTTTTTTTGTTTTGTTTTTGTGGTTGTTTCATTCTTTTGCCTAAAATCCAGAGGCTTGGGGAGATATTTTGCTTATGAGTTCCCAGCAGTTCCTTATGGTGGTCTAACAACCTCAGATTCACCTATTACAACAACTACAATTTCAAGTGGCAACAGTTCAAATTTACTCATAAATGAAAAACTAGTATGTGTATTGTTTCAACAACTGAGCAGAGACCTGCAAATTAAGAGCAGGAAGAAAGAAGCTTGCCAAAGGAAGACAATTATCAGTTAATTAGTGGTGCTCCTGTCAGAACTTTGCTCTCTAATACCTAAAAAAGTGTCTTTTTTTTTGGGCACTGTCACTATTCTTTAAAGGGGTAAAGAAAATCTCACTCTTCTGGTTTTGGTAATCCTGGGAAGACAGAGAGTAAACTTTATGGTTGGATTTCTCAAATCCACTGTTATTTATAACAATTAAACACTTTTCCAGAGCTGTATATTCTTATTTTTAAAACATATACCATAAGTAAACAAGAACGCACACATGCTTTGTTTCTAAATATTCTGTGGATATTGAAAATAAAATAGTAGGTGGTGTTTATGATTCAAAGCCCAAGAAAATTAAAGGAGGATGGTAGGGTTTTCTTTGTGATCTACTTCCTAACATAAAGATTCTAACGGTGGGACAATCTGAACTCAGTGTGACTGGAGTAGTAAAAAACTCTCTCGCCACAGCTTTTAAAAATAATCCTAAAAGCAGCAAGATTGTTTGGGGGGGGCTCGGGCCAGTAGGCAGCCTCCAATTCTTCACAAGTTTCTACAGTAATGTATTTATATAGATCTGGTATAAATCAGCTTAAGTATCTAACACATGAATATAATTAGAAGAAAAAAAGATAGTTAAAAAAAATTCATATTCTATAATAGCTCCACTTAAAGCTCCATTCAATCCAATGAAGTATGTAGAACCATAATGTATCTTTTAACGGGTTTTCCATCTGTGCATTGGAAAACTATTAATGGATGGAAATGTTACTATGTGAAGGGCCATACTGCATAAAATTCTGTATCGCTTTCATCTGCTACCATTATGAAAGTTGGAACTGGGAGGGATAAGTGCCCTGTGGTGATTAAAATTTCTTTTTATCCGCTAAGCAATAAATCACCAGTAATTTACTTATTTGGGGGAAATTCATGTAAATCCAAAAATAGATCTCCACCTTCAAAAAAATACCCTACTCAGCATGCTTCTCATTTCAGAACAAAGGGAATATGGAAAAACACATTTCTCAATGTAAATGAAAGCTCACAGGGATATCTCCACAGAGTTCATACAGGAGAGTTTGGGTCTAATGTGAATTTCCCAGCCTGAACTTAATTGTCTAAACACATTGATCAATTCGCCAGAACAATGACAAAGCTCACCTTATTTTTTGTATTTTACAATCAGTGTCAGAAACACAATATGCTCCTTTAAATGAACACTGCCAAGAGATTAGATTTTTTTGCTACAATGTTGCCATCAGGAGCCATTGCTTTCTATTATTCTTATGTTCTGCTTAGTTGTTCTTACAGAAAAAAAGACAACACTGAGTTGTCGCTGACTATATTTCATTATTTTACTTTGTGGAACTGTCAAGTAAATTTTCTGTTTCTTTTTAAAAATAACAGTAACAACAAATAAATGTCATTACTTATTGACAAAACCATGACCCCAAGTTTCCAGCCAAGAAAGATGTGAATCATCCTAACTCTAAGTAGAAATTTCAGAATAACCGAAAGACACAAATGTGCTTTTATCTTCAGCTGGAAAGAACTTTTTAAAGCTAATCCATCCATACTAGGTAGATAATCTAATTCATCCCTTCATTCTAAGCCTGAAAAAGTCTCCTTTAATTACAAAATCTATAGATTAATGAAAATTTATAATCTGGCACATAATTTCTCAATGGCTACTATATATTTTGGAATGACTATTTCTATTATACATAAATAAAATTTCATTTCTCACCCCTCACAATGAGTCCCTAAAATATTACACCCACCACATTTAAGGAAAGAAAGATGCTACATTCTACATTCAGAAGTCTACATTCAGCCCATAGAAAAGTTCTGGGTTGGACACAATCAGCTATATATGTATGGTATTATTTTAAGAGACCTCAAGACGAAAGTTTTGTGTTTATAAAAAGCAAGCAGGTGTTCTTTCGGCAGTTTCGGGTGGGTGTGGGATATGGGATGTCTACAGAATATTAAGTTGCAGTAAAAGCTTTCCAGAAACTAGACAGACCATAGACTGTGCTCAAAAATGTGTCACTCCTTGCTTTTATACAGGTCACACGGATATTTAGTGTAACAAGTCAGGTCCCAAATCATACTGGATGCATTCTCCCTTCAAACTTGGGAGCAGCCCGTAAGAAAGATAAGATTCGTTAAATTTTTAAAGTACTGATACCTTCCATCTTCAATTTTGCTAGCAGTTCTAATACACTGAACCTACAGAGCTTTACTCCTGGTGTAGCCTGGGAAAGCCTCCCTGAATCAGTGACCTTTCCAGGGTATAGGATTAACAAGAGTCTGACTCTCACAAGATAAAGCTGTACCTTTCTTCACATTCAAAGGACGAGGGCAATTGCCTGCAATCAGCAGTGAATACAGCTTGTCTACACTGCCAGAGGCCTGCCAATCACTCTCCCTCCCTTTAAAAAATGGTTTTGAGGGCCGACTAGAATTTTTCAGCAGAGATCCAACCAACTGCAGTCAAGTTCAGGCAGAAAAACAGGAAGGTAAGGCAAATCTCCGTTTTATTTCGCATGGATCCCAAAACCTGTTTTGGAAAAAGACGGCCTAACATTCTCCATTTTCATGACAACTTCCTTGCCTTATTTTTAAAACCCTTCCTCTTTTATAATAGTTTCTGTGCATCTTTACTGTTTTGATCCCTTATTGTTGATTCAGTGGACAGGTGGGAAGCACCATACTGGGGGCTGGTATTCCAATCTTCCCCTGCTAAAGATGCCTTGTCTTTCACCTCCACTGCTCTCAATCAACTGATTCAGTCACAGATTATCAAGCATATAAAGGCAGAATGATCTTAATTTTTAAAGGATTTGAGAGTTCCTTAAATTTGGCAGAAGTCGGGAGTTACATGTTATACTGATTTCTTTCCCAAGCCGATTCATTCCGACCTGTTTTGAAGAGTGGAGGGGGGAGAATGTGGCCATTGACCTGTATTCTCTGAATCTTCAGAAGGAGGCAGTGAAGGCACATTTCAGAAGAAATGAACAGTGATGCGCTCTCTCATATTTTCTATTTTAGCTTCCCCTTTCCCAAAGGCTCAAGATTCCAAATACATAAACTTTTTTACATTCAGCACCAATAGCACAAAAGCCTGGGGTTTTTTTTCTGTATATATTGTGCCCCTGGCAGAAGCTCATAGGGTTTCCTCACAGTGTGCAAGAGAGCTGCAGTTGATTTAAGGTTGTGAGAGGTAAGGACGTGCCCCTCCCCCGCCCCCATTGCCTATGCATGGAACTAAACTTGTGCCTGGTACAATCAGAAATGTTCTCTCCCCTGGTATCTTTATTTATTCATTTTCCTCATCTGGAAACAGAACAATTGCTCTAAAATTAACCCTGTCAGGTCTTCACGGCCATCACAGTAATAGGCACAAATTCTAATTTGGTCCCTGGATCGTATTTCTTGTCGGTATTTTAGTTTTAAATAGGCATCTAAGTCTATGCCTCCACCAATCTCCTAATTTTGAAACCCCTTTCTGCCCTTTTGGTTTCTAGTTCTTCCATGACAGAGCTATCCAAAGGGAGTATAGGGTTTCTCCAACAAAGCGTAATTCACTTCACAGGCCATGGCGGAAATCTGACCCCCTCACCACAATCAACAAGAATCAAGCCATTAGGACTCTCAGAAAGTTGCTAATCACTCCTTTTTACCCTTTGGATCAGAGAGCAACTCGGAACTTACCCCTCCTTCCAGAGGGCTCGCTATCCACCCAAGTTCTCCCTGAACAGATCTGGAATCCAACAAGGTAACTGCAAGAAAACAAAGGAAAATGGATTAATTTCCAATTGCAAAAAAGCCAATACTACAAAAACCATTTGCCTGAGCGTTTCCATATGTTCTGGGGGTGTGCATATCCAACTCTGATCAAAACCTAAACTCAGTCTCACTTATGTAAATAATCATTACTTACTTGATCTTCTCCCCTCTTTAAATCTGCACATTCTTATTTATTTAACTTGCTTAGCATTTAAAATTCCATCCCAGGCCTGAGCTGATTCATTTTCTAAAAAGGATGAATAGAGAATCTCAAGTACAATTCAAAAAATAAATATATCTATGTAGGGCAGCTACACTCCAGAGCAAAATCAGCATTCATCTCTGTCTGGTATCTACTAGAGTTATTTGTTTTTGCAAGTTTCAGATGACCACATAACTCATCATCATGGTGACAGAACCACAAGTGAATTCTAACAGAGTATTCAAAGGGTCATGAAAAGGCTCTCTCCTCTACAATTTCTCCCCCCCCCCCCCCACCAAATAAAGAGGCCCTGGATGTGGTATCCACTGCTTTTTTAAAATATCCAAGTTTCAAAGGGGGTAATGGCAGACCTGTAGAATTTAGGATGCTAACACACTGGAATATTCTCTTCCCCAGGTCTTTTGGAGGACAACCAGAGACTCGTCCTCAGCCTAGGAGGAAATCACTGGTTTGAATTTTAGGTGAAGGAGTGCAGCCTAATAGATTTAGTGTTTGTGCTTCACCTAAGCGTGTGTGTCAAAGCTCAGGAACAGGGAAGCCGGCTACAGAGCTGCTATCCCCCACCCAGGCTGGAACTGTCCTAGGCACCGAGGACATTTTAAAGGACACAATGGATTCCTAACCTCTCCACATTCTCTTTCCCACCGAGATCTGCAGGCCTGGGGGTCGAAAGGCCCATCTCAAAGGAACCACTGGGTTATTAATTTGATCAGTGAGGCTGGCTCTTTAGGCTGGAGGAGGGGTGGGAATGGGGAGCCCTCATCCTTGCTCCTGGGCATTCCGACTCTCCATCTCACCCCTAGGCCCCTGAATTCTGCCCACCTTCCCTCATTCCATCCCCAAGTCAAAGGAGTTAAAAACAGCTGCTTTCTCCTGGTTTTCCCGAGGAGCCTGAATTCCTAGGGTCTCTTAATTATTTTAAAATGTAGAGCCTTCCCTGGGTCGCTCCCGCCCGGAGTTGCGCCCCCCCTCCTCATTCCCTCTTCTTGGTCCCTAGAGAAAAGCCCGCTACATCCATTTGGATTTATGTAAGGTGGATTAGGGACACAAAGGGAACAATAAGACCCAATTTACAAAAAAAGGGAGGGAGTAGAAAGGGAGGGTAAAAGGGAGAAAAGGAAACGTGATGGGAATAAAAAGCAACAAAATGAATTAATTTTTAGGGGGGAGGAGGGGCCGGAGGGGGGGAAACACTCCCCCTCTCTTCGTTCTACATCAGCCTACAGCTCCATCAACACCGTTTTTGTCTAACGCTCCCAAGTTTTCCTTCCAAAAGAAAAGGCAAGAAAGGGGAGGGGGAAAAAAGGAAAAAAGAAAGAAAGAAAAAGAAAAGAAAAAAAGAAAAGAAAAGAAAATCTCCGTTACGTCTGGAGCCAGAGAGGTCTCGAGGGACGTCCTAACAAGTGTGCGAAGTAGTCGGGAGAAAGCGAGATCCATGATTCCACTAAAAGGAATGACCCTGGGGACCGAGGGACCGCAGCGACCGAGATGGCACCAGAAGTCAGTTAAGAAGAAGGGAGGAGATCGAGAGGGTGGGAGAGCGCCCCTTTCCTCCCAAACAGTGTCTGCCGGCAGGTGTGTGAATCTCTCCCAGCCTCCTCCTGGCGAGCTCTGGGTCCCGGCTGCCCAGCCAAGGCTAAGTTGGTTTTTGGCTCCCTCCTTCGGAACAGGGAAAATGATAGATAGCGCAGGGATGCACGGACGGATTCTGGAGAGATGGACGCCTGAATAGATGGATGGATGGATAGATGGATGGGGGAGGGCGCGGGACGGGGGTGCTGTGAAAGAGTCGACGAGACCGGTGCAAGGCTAGATGCACGCTGACTCGAGCACAAGCAGCCCCGAACAGAGGCGCACGCTATCAGGGTACTCACGCACAGGCACACAATCGTCCGCGTCCACGCGGGCACCCGCGCACCCACATACACACATTTGCGCGCGCGCGCGTACACACACAGACTCACGCGGACACACACACATACACACACACATTCAATTCGCCTTTCTCTGAGATCATCAGAAACTAAATGATCAACACCCACCTCCCCTACACAGAAACAGACACAATCTTTCCAGCACGTCCGAAGAGACGCGCAGAAAACAGCACCCAGACGGGTCCAGTCGGTCCCGCGCGTTCCATCCAAACTAACCCAGTGTATAGTTCCGGGGGCAAAAAGCAAAAACTACCACGTTCAACTTGCCAGCGGGTCCCCAGGTCTGAGGGGTGATCTGAAGAGAGTGGGGCCCCGTAGGCCAGCGATCGCACACCCGGAGCGCGAGGCCCAGCGGGGAGAAAGGTGTCTGACGCCGGGTGCCACAGAAACCAGGTCACTGGCGACCTGCGAGCGGCGCCACGGCCGCTGTGCAGCCGAGGCCCCGCAGCCGGGTCCCGGGAAGCCCAGGGCTCGGGAAACTTTGCAGAAACCTTGAGCTCCAAGGCTTTCGCAGGCACCCGGGAGCACCAAACACTCACTTAGATCCAGGCTTCCGTTCCCCCCTTGACCGGGGCTGGGTTGGGAGCGGTGATAGGGAACGCTACGTCCAAATAATTTATTATTATTTTCTGTTTGTTTGTTTAGTCCTGGCGTTGGCTCTAGTGTATCCCCTGGGGCTCCTGGAGCCGGCCTCGCCCGCGGATGCTGATAAACTTTGTCCTTCCGCTACAAACTTGGGTAGCCCAGCCGAATGCAGGGTCACCGCCCGGGGAAGGCTGCCCGGCAGCTTCCCCACTCCCCTTCGCGGATCCTCTCGTCCGGGCCCCCTTCTCCGGAGTCGGGGCGCACCGCTCACGCCGGGATCCCCTCACACCTTCCGGCCTTGCGCTCCCGGGGGCCATTCACCCGCAGATCCACCTCTCTGCCCGGGACCGCAGAAGGACCGCCTCGGTCTTACCTTCATTCGCGGGGTACACCCTAGAACCGGTGACAGCGTCGCAAATCCCAAAGAGAAACGAAAAGAGGACGAAATAGAAAATCCCAGCCATGGTTCGCCGGTGCCAACGCTGCTCCCGCCGCTTCTATCCCAGTGGAATAAATGCTTAAGTTAGGAGTGCAGCGGGCTGAAGACATTGCCAAGGGGGTGGGCCCAGCCCGTGACGTTCACCCGCCAGTCCGGGGCCCGCGGCCAATAGTGGCGCAGACGGGACAGCGCAGCCCCGCCCCACTGAGCGGAGCCCGCCCCGAGGCCCCGCCCCCTCCGGCCTCGGTGGGGCGCGCGGTCTCCCGCGGCCTCTGGGGCCCAGCTCTGCGGGGTTCCTCCCCCCGCCGGAGGGAGACGGCGTGGTCCCCGGACCTCATCTCAGGGGTCCAGCCCTGGGGCAGCGGAAGGAGCTTCGAAGACTGAATTGACTGGGGGGAATCCGAGGAAGATTGGCAACCCCCTCCCCCCCCGGGGCCCCCCACCCCGCCGCCACGGGCGGTTTGAGATAGAGGAAAAGGTTCTTTTACTGCAATAAAATAAGTATAAAGTTGACCTGCCTCTTTGCTGTTGCTCTTTTCTGAGGGTCGAAGCGTTCGCGTCTCGCGCGCGGGGGCTGGCGCACCGCCTCTGCCACCCTCAGCTACCTTGCCCTGTTTGTGTCTTTATGGCGCATCTCCAAATGAAATGCTCTTTGGGGGAGTTCTGTGGTTTGATTATGTCTTTCTTCCCTGGTTCCCCAGTTGCCTGGAAAGCAGGGACCTGATCGGTCCCCGAAGTCCAGGGCCTCTCCCGGCGGGAGGCAAGGCTCAGCCACAGTCTCCAGAGACGGAACCAGTGACTTTCTAGCAACGGAGAAGAACCCTCTGGTTGCGCCTCGCGTTCACGCAGCGCGTCTCTTCCCGGCCCCGGGTCAGGACTTCCCATCGCGCCAGGACGCGCCGAGAAGGCCGGGCCTGAGCTGCAGGGAACCGGCTGCGTGTTTCCCTGGGGATCGTCCCGGGAACCAGGCCTGGTCGATCCCAGGCGCCGGGGCAGAAGCGAAGGGCGTAAAGTGGGAGCGTGGGTACCTGCTGCTGCCCAGACCCCGCAGGTGGGGACTCGGGGGCTGCCCGGCGCGGTTGCTGCAGCTCTGCGCTCCGACGGCTCCCGGGCGCTGCTGGGGACCGCTCTCCGCGCCCCGGGCGCGGTGGCGGACGGCAGAAGCGGCGGAAATCCTCGCAGCTGCCCCCACCCAGGCGCCGAGAGTGTCGCTGTCCACCTCCGGGGACGTAGGCCCCACCGAGCCTTGGTCTGTCCCCAGATGTCCGGGCTGCGAGAGCAGCCACCTGAGCACCGCCCGGCGACCGTCACGTGGCGGGCGGCCCGGGGACCGGACCCCCGACGCGACTCGGAGCGTTTCTCCCGACGTTTAAAGGGGCCGGATTCCCGACTTGGCCTCCTTTCCCCCACCCCACCCCCGCTCCCAGGCTACCCCTCCTCTGTCTCCCTCCAGGGTAGGACCGAGTTTTTCTCCCGGGCGAGGGTCCCAGCGGGTGGGCGACCGCGGGGAGGTGGAAGCGCCTTTCCCGCTCAGGCAGCGGCTCATCGTGAGGCAACCGCGCCACCTGCCGGCCTGACTCGGGAGTGCGCGGCCCCCGCGGAAGGGCGAGCGGACAAAGGCTGCCACCCGCAACCCGCAGAGCGGAGGTGTGGCCGTGGGGCACGTTTTCATCCGCGCTCCCACGTCCCGCGCACCCTGGCCACTCCTGCGGTGTGGTGGCGGGGGGTGGTGCAGAGCACCCAGGAGTCGTGCTTCTCGCCAGCTGGGTTACGGAAAATGGAATCAAGGAGAAACTCATAGTCAATATCCCCAGGGCTGCCTGAGTAGCTGCAGTCCCTAGAAAACAAAACAAAACAAAACAAAACAAGACAGGAATCCTAGATAAAACAGCAAGAGATAAGGCAGTGTGGAGGAGAGCGGATCGCGGCCACGGCTTCAGGTCCTTGGCCCCCGCAGCCCATCGTGCCTCCTCGTGGTTGGAGAGCCGCACCCTTGCAAACTCAGAACTCGGCAACTTTTTTTTTGAGCGCGCTTGGCGAGGCTGTGAGCAGTAGCTGTGTGCGTGGTGGCCTCGGGGGACAGCTTGTGTGGGGTCCCAAGTATTTTGCCTTCTCGGTGAAAGACCTCCTGAAATGTCACAGTGTGAGGAAGTGGAATTCAGTTATTGTAGCTACTGTTTTCACACAAGTAAAAAGGGGAAAAATGCACACGGGGGGATTTATAGGTATGTGTATGTATCAATTATTTAAGTAACTGCACGAAGTCCCTTTAAGGGATTCACTTCTAGCTTCTTTCGTGTATCTTCCTGAGCTTTATAGGAAAAGAAGATGAAATATTGGTCCCCTGCATTTGGCACAACGACTGGAAAGAGGAAAGAGCAGTTTGAATTCTGTCTAAAACCTTTTTAAACAATAGGTACAGGCTGCCTCTCTGCACGAGTTTGAGTTGTATGTGGTGGAATGGGAAATTGCCCGCCTCCTTAAAAACAGTGAAATTTCTAGAACATGTACCACCTTTCCCCTCCTGGGATATGCACGCTGAATATTAAAGCCTTCGCAGCCACAGCTGTCTGAAGGCAAGGCTTCATCTGCTAGGGCACATTCAGTGACGCCCCCTTCTTGCATCCCATTTTCGTTTTTCAGATCCCAAAGCAACCCAATAACCTGGAGAACCAAAAGGCAAGAAATTCAAACTTGGAAAACTGAACTATAACTTCCTCTTTCAAGAATTTCTGAGATGAAAATCAGAAATGAACTACTGAAAATTCTGTCCACTGTGACTACCCAGAGGAAAAGTTCTCTAACCTAACAGGCAAGGTTCTTTTCCAAAACAGGGCAAAAGTGAAAACAAAGATAGCGGCCCAGTCCATCAGCAGTGTGGAACCAATCCCCAAACACACACACACTTTACTGGAAAACACCTAAGAATTTTCAAGCATTTGAGAGAATTTACAACACAGCAATAACTCACTGGTGTTATGAGCATACAATAGAATACAATAATCTCAAAAAGTACCTAAAACCACCTTCTTTTAAAATAAATTAGCATGGCTCAATCAGTTAAGCATCTGCCTTCAGCTCAGGTCATGATCCCAGGGTCCTGGGATCCAGTCCCACATCGGGCTCCCTGCTCAGTGGGAAGCCTGCTTCTCCCTCTTACTCTGCCCCTCCCCCTCGCTTGGGCTCTCTCTGGCTCACTCTCTCTCTCTCTCTCTCCCCCTCTTCCAAATAAATAAATAAAATCTTAAAAAAAGAAAGAAAGAAAATAAATTAGCTTGACTCCAGAGGAAAACACCTTAAATGCTGTGAGAATTCGAGACGATTTTGAATCCATTAAGAGATGTGTCAAAATACATGTGCTTATAAGCTTAATGAATATAGTAATCCAATATCTCAAAAACTTGGATAGAGTTTTTTTTCCTTTGTTTACAGTGCCTGTCACAAAGACTTGGGCTTCCAAGTCCATCTTAAATGTTAGGTTGAATTAAGGTTCATTTTCAGAGGTCTTTCTGATTTGCAAAGACATTTTAAAATAGCACCAAGTATCTCAGAGTTTCTGCCTCTCCAGGGAGGGCCAGTTTCACCAAAGTGGTGAGAAAAGGGGCTTTGACCTGTGGACAAGTAAGCAATAACCGAATTCTTGCAAGACCAGAGACAGGATAACAAAAAGAAGACGAATCCATGCTGCCTTTTACTGAACACTTCGCTAGATTTTTTTTTTTTTTTTTAAGATTTTATTTATTTGACAGAGCGAGAGAGAGAGTGAGAGCAGGAACACAAGCAGGGGGAGTGGGAGAATGAGAAGCAGACTCCCCGCTGAGCAGGGAGCCCCATGCGGGGCTCAATGCCAGGACCCTGGGATCATGACCTGAGCCGAAGGCAGACACTTAACGACTGAGCAGGCGCCCCCTAGATTTTTTTTTTTAAGATTTTATTAATTTATTTGTCAGAGAGAGAGCGCGCACAAGCAGGAGGGAGGGGCAGGCAGAGGGAGAGGGAGAAGCAGGCTCCCCCCTTGAGCAGATAGCCTGATGCAGGACTCGATCCCAGGACTCTGGGATCATGACCTGAGCTAAGGCAGACGCTTAACCCACTCAGCCACCCAGGTGCCCCAATCCGCTAGATTTTTTTTTTTTTAATGAGTTTAGCTGGATTTCCCTGGACATAAGTGTTGTTATCAGTGAAACAGAACCCCCAGCAGTACCGTGAAGGATTTGGCCATTGCCGGGAGCAGGGATTCCAAGACAGACAACTAGCTGGTCTTTTACCAGTTGTGTGTCTGTGGGTAAGTTATTCAACCTCTCTGAGATATGGTTTCCTCATGTGTGAATTGTAGTTATGTGATTCTTCTAAAACGTGGATGAATTTTGTAGAGCACCTGGTATAATGCCTGGCACGTGGTGGACAGTTATTACTCTTAAATAATATTTCACTAATAACTATTTAGCAGTTAATCACTTAATATTAATCATTTAATATCACCAGTTTAATATTAATAATTTAATGTTATTAAGTGAGAAATCATGTGTTCAGCTTGAAGCTTCCTTTCTACGAGGAAACTGGGCACGATGACTCATGCTTGTGCTCCATGGGAGGAGATTGTTTTATTTCACCAACTCTAAAATTCTAAATTCTTCAAGAAATTCTAAATTCTTCCCTTCCTACGTTGTTGATTTATTACAACTCACCATCAACTCATATTCCTAGATGGTACAGTTGGATTTGAACCTAGAAGTAGTACTTACCTCCAAATTTAATAGTTTCAAAAACAGTTAAGTGAAACAAGGTGCAGAGAACCCCAAATCCCACAACTAAATCAAAATATTGGTGATCAGGAATAACCAAAGCTCCATCGAATGACATAGCCACCTTGGTCAGGAAGACGCTCCTGCCCCTAAGCCACCACCTGAAATATTGTAACCTGAAACAACGCTTGGTGAGCTTCCTAAAGCTTCCAGAAAACCCTTTTGGAGACTTCATCCTTTGATGTCAAGGCTTTGATGCTATTTCTGATGCAAATAAGAAGCAGGACTCCTGTTAGCCCTTGACAACTGAGTGGGAAAAATGGCCACAGAGCCCAGGTCCTGACGAGTCAGAAGAGTGAGGGCAA